ATGGCTACAAGGACCAGCTCCCACCAACATGGAGGATTAGCTCTGCAGCAGTCAACCCCATAGCACAGGACTTACTCAGTGAGCCTCCTGAGTCCACCCTGTGGGTGAGTCCACCCCGTGGGTAAGTCCCTTGTGGAAGAGGTTGGGTGGGACTTCAGTGTGGCCTGATGTGCACTGGGCTTGCTGGTTCCTGGAGACTTTCAGGTGGTATAGGCCAAGATCAGCTGATACTTGTGCCCTGCCTAGGGTTACCTAGCATGGCCTATAAAGTGATCCGCAGATGGCTGCTACTTGCACTGGGCTTGGAGTTGCCCAGGAAAGGCCATGCTGTGAAGCCAGATGCTGCAGACTTTAGGAAAGTCTGAAGCACGAGCCAAGAGAAGCCGTTTGTATGGAAAAGCCACTGGAAATAGCTTGGATTGGGCCTGAAAGACTTGTGGGGCAGTGTTTCAAGGAATCACCTGAGTGGGGCCAACAGTTTTAGCTACACTGAAGGATATTCAGATATGGTGCCTGCCTAAAGGCTGTGGGCGAGGTACCAGGAAAGGAACAATGTCCACTGTTAGTCCTTCTGTTTGGGAGAAAGCTGCTCTTGCCCAATGCTAGACAGACAACTCAGTTTTCCACCTTATGTCCCTGGTGCCCACCACCGCTGAACTCAGAGTGAGTCCAAGTAAGTTTGTGCACAGGCCCTTTAAGAGGAATGTCTGGGACTTCTGAAGCCCTCTATCTCACTCAACTACAATCCAAGCTGTGTTTGAGTCCCAGAGATTATGGGAACTTTGTTGCACTGGAATTGTGGGCAGGGGAGTACAATGTAGGGTTGGGTCCCCTTACTCCTCAGGGGAGACCTCTGCAGCTGAGATATCCCTCCTGATTTTTTCTTTTTTAAATTTTTTCAATTACAGTTGTCCCCATTTCTCTCCCCTGCCCTACCCACCCTCACCTCCCATATTCAGTGCTCACTACCACCACCCCCGTTATCTTTGTCCATGGGTCCTTTCTACATTTTCCTTAATGACTCTTCCCCTTCTTTCCCTCATTATCCCCCTCTCCCCTTCCCTCTGTTTACTGTCAGTTTGTTCTTTATTTCCATGTCTCCGGTTCTGTTTTGCCTGCCTGTTTTATTGATGAAGTTCCACTTATAGGTGAGATCATATGGTATTTGTCTTTTACTACCTGGCTTATTTCACTTATCATAATGCTCTCCAGTTCCATCCATATGGTCATGAAGGGTAGGATCTCATTCTTTCTTTCTGCTGTGTGGTATTCTATGGTGTAAATGTGCCACAGTTTTAACATTGGGCTGCAGAGGTTCTTTTGAATTGGTATGGCAGGATTCTTAGGATATAATCCCACCAACGGGAATTGCCAATTCTGATGGCAGTTCCATTTTCAGTTTTATGAGGAAATTCCATACTGTTTTCCACAGTGGCTACATCAGTCTACATTCCCAGCAATGGTGTACTGGGGTTCACTTTTCTCCACAGCCTTGCCAGCACTTGTTTGTTGATTTGTTTATGATGGCCATCTGACCAGTATGAAGTGGTACCTCGTTGTTTTAATTTCCATCTCTGATGGCTAGTGATGCTGAGAATCCTTTCATATGTCTCTGGGCCCTCTGTATGTCCTCCTTGAAGAAGTGTTTAGGTCCTTTGCCCATTTTTTAATTGGGTTGTTTCTCTTCCTGGAGTTATGTCAGCTATTTATATATTTTGGAGCTAACCCCTTATCCAAAGTATCATTGGCAAATATATTTTCCTATATGGTTGGTTTCCTTTTCATTTTGCTGATGTTTTCTTTAGCTGTGCAGAAGCATTTTATTTTGATCAAGTCCCATTTTCTTGTTTCCTTTATGTCCCTTGCTCTATATTCCTCCTGACTTTTTCTGCCACACATGGGTGTGAGACCTGTCTGTTTCACATCTCCACCCCTCTTACCAGTCTCAGTGTGGGCTTCTATATATCCTTAGTTGTAGGACTTTTCTTCAGCTAGATTTCAGGTGGTTCTGAATGATGGTTGTTCTGTAGTTTAGTTGTAACATTGAAATGATTGTGGGAGGATTTGAGTACCTCATTTACCTATGCCACCATCTGGACCAGAACTCTGTAAATGCTAATTTATCTAACTTTTATCATTTATCTAACTTTTATTCTTATTCTCTTGCATTTTCAGACACTTAATATTGTACATATAAAGCATTTAGATATTGCATGACACATAGTAATAACTGTTGTATTTCATTTATTTTAAGTTAGAGCTTAATTTTTTGCTGTAACTAATAGTCCATATTTAATAACCATAACTCCTTAGTGGCTGTATCCCCCAAAACTGAAACCTGATCATATGTCTCTTGCTAAAGGTTTTTTTTCTTATTTCATAAACTGTAAGCTATTTCTTACTTTTCCTAATTATATTATTTTAATAATTATTATGTTGATTAATCCTGGAGTCAGATTTAGAAGAGTTCCTTTTCTATCCATTCAGAAAGCATTCAGTAATTCTTTTTTTAAAATATACATTCCATATTTTGTCCTTCTGTATTGTAGCTCATCATGTACAGGTTGAAAAGAAATGCAGCTTTGGCTGGTGTGGCTCAGTGGATTGAGCACCAGACTGCAAACCATAGGGTCGCCAGTTCAGTTCCCAGTCAGAGCACATGCCTAGGTTGTAGGTCCAGTCCCCAGTAGGGGACACTCAAGAGGCAACCACACATTGATGTTTCTCTCCTTCCCTTCCCCTCTCTAAAACTAAATAAATAAAATCTTTAAAAAAATGGAGGATGGAAAACCTTTAAAAAAAAGAAAAGAAATGCACATTTCTTTAAAATGATTATTAAGGTACTATCTCCTCAATGAAGTCAGATGACATGGGATTTTGGTAAAACCTGCAAAGATCCAGACTGTGGTCATTACAAAGGGCATAACATTGAACAAGAGATTTATTTTACATTAAACTAAATTATATAGACAGTAACTTCTAAAAGCAGCAAATGGAGAGTGAAGATGGTAAGAATGTTATAGAGTTTGTTGATTTTGTTCTTTTATTTTATTTTGGTGGTTTGTTATAGCTTTAAAGAAAGTATCATTTCCTGAAGGATGTCCAGGTTCCAAAGAGATCCAGGCTGGAATGCAGCTAGTTAATTCAAAGGTGTATTTTTAGAAATGAGCAGTTTATAAGAGACCCAGTTAGAGCCACAGAGAGATTTTTTTAAAGATGTTATTTTACTTATTTTTAGAGAGGGGTAGGGAGGGAGAGAGGGAGAGAAACATCAGTGTGTGGTTGCCTCTTGCATTCCCTCTACTGGGGACCTGGCCTGTAACCCAGGCATGTGCCCTAAGACTGGGAATCGAACTGGTGACCCTTTGGTTTGCAGGCCAGCACTCAGTCCACTGAGCCACACCAGCCAGAGTTACAGAGAGATATTTTTAGTGGACTTGTGGCGTGGTGGCTTGAGTACTAAATGTGAATTAGTACTCACATTTGTGGGAGTGAAGTAAGTTTTTGTTTTGATTTGGTTTTTCCAGGGTAATAACTATCATCTGTTGGTCCTTTGAGCTGGGCTCAGGACCGTTGTAGGTTTTTTAAACATGTTTTTATCATTGTTGCATTAGGTAACAACAGTGAAGTGTACCCCCAAATATTTATGATAATGCCTATTTTAAGATCTCAGAACCATATGGAGAAATGTGATCTTTAAGGGTCTTACAGGTGAATAAAATCCACAGATGATACTAGGTATAAAAGCTGTAAACCTAAACATAATAGATATACTCAGAAATAAAAGCAGATTTAAAGAAACAAAATTATTTGGGAGAGAAACTACTAGGTTGAAGTAAGAAACATATAACTTGATGGTTAGGACAATTTTATTAACATCTGTGAGAAAATAAAATGAACCTGGTCTATTCCCAGAGATGGTCTGTTATTCATCTGTGTTGTATTTTCTGTGAACATTTGTGTTATGGTGAATCACAGCTAGATGGAGAATTGGAATCTGCTGTAAAGCAGTGTTCTGTGAAACATAAGGAAATGGATGCTTTCAAAAATTAATTTTGATTTTGATATGTCACATGGTGAGAAAGGGTACATATCAATGAGGAACTTACCATAGTAATCAAGCTGTAAGAAGATAAGGACAGAAACCATGATCTGCCTCTGCCAAACCAAATTCTTCCTCTAATATGTTTTTCAGTCTGTTTCCTTTTAAAAAAAAACACACAAAAACAATAACTTTCCTTGTTGAACTCATCCAGTTTTCTGAGTTTCTTGCTTCCTAAATAAACAATGCTTAGAAAACCTCTACAGCTCATTTTCCATGTCTTGAGTTTATTTCATCTTTACAAACTTGCCTCTTGTAGCATTTTTTAAAATTAATTATTTTTTTGTGAATTAAATTAAAGAAAAATCTAGGTCCTAGGTTATAGGACTATTTTTTTTTGAACTGGAGGAAGTTGTGTTTTCAGAACTTTAGTTTGATATTGGTGTGTAGAGTATAGGCATGCATTCTAAAATATATCCTAACTCAGCAATCTGTGTATGAGGGAATTAGGACTAAGCTCTTCTCCCTTTACCAAATGTAGTTCATCCTTTAAAGATCCTTGTCTAATAATCTTCACTGTCACTTGAATAAAGTGACATTGAATATTCTGTGTTTAATGTCTCTTTTGGGCTCACCCCATTCTCTTGAGTTTATATGTTTCTGAATCAGCCAGTCCCCAGTTTCCTGTGCTTTGAATTTCATTTTTATTTTTTGCCCAGTTTTGAAGTTTTATCTAAGTATTAAATGTCATTGCTACTTTCCTTTCACTGTTTCCCCTGCAGCATGTAGTTTCCACTCAAAGCAGAGGGTACAGGAAATGTATACTTGGATTTAGTTCATACCAGGAAACTGGGCCTAAAACAATAAATTGATTATATAATAAGACATTTATGTAAAAGTCCAATTCCATTAGAAGGATACTGATATTCATTTTTGTGGTTATTTTTCTCATTTCTAGAAAATTGGAAAGTTGATTACCTGATAGAGAACAGCCAGGAAAATCAAGATGAACATTTTTGGCAATTTGCTGTCACCACCAACGAAACATTAAGTGGTGATAGAGTAAGGAAAAATTTCAGTCTGAGTACAGACTGTGTTCCTTCAAGAAGTATTTCAGATGAGATATGTGACTCTTGTGAAACGAATTTGAAGAACATCTCAGGCTTAATTATTAGTAGAAAGAACTATTCTGGAACAAAGCCTGATAAGTTTAATTTATATGAGAAAGTACTTTTTGATATTAGGCATGAGAAAATTCCTACTGGAGAAAAATCTTATAACTATAATCAAAAAAGGAATATCCTTGGTCATTTCCAGGATCTTACTCAACCAATTATTGACCAGCCTTTTGAGTATACTGAAAATGGACAAAGCTTCCAAGAGGAGGGAGCATTTTTCTCAAACAAGAAAGCTCAGATAGGAGGGACACTCTGTAAATATAATGAATGTCAAAGAACCTTCATCCAAAGTTTCAAGCTCAATTTATCTCAGAGAACTCATTTGAAAAGAGAACCATATGTATGCAGTATCTGTGGGAATTCCTTCTGTATGGATTTAAGATTGGGACATCAAAAAGCTCTTACAGGAGAGAATCCTTATGAATATAATAAATATGAGCAAGTTTTCTGTGATAATTCAACTTTCATTATCCATCAGAGAACTTATGCAGGAAAGATTTCCCATGAATATAATGTAAACCAAAAAACAGGGGTAAAATCAGCTCTCTTTAAACATCAGGTAGTACATATGGTGGGGAAACCTTATGAGCACAAAGGAAATGGAAATAATTTCAACAAGAAGTCACATCTCACCCAACCTCGGAGAGCTCACTCAGGACAAAAAAATTTTGAATGTGCCGAATGTGGGAAAACATTCTGGGAGAAGTCAAACCTCACTCAACATCAGAGAACACACACAGGAGAGAAACCCTATGAATGTGCTGAATGCGGGAAGTGCTTTTGTCAAAAACCACACCTTACCAACCATCAACGAACTCATACAGGAGAAAAACCTTATGAATGTAAACAGTGTGGGAAAACATTCTGCGTGAAGTCAAACCTCACTGAACATCACAGAACACATACAGGAGAGAAACCCTATGAATGTAATGCATGTGGAAAATCCTTCTGCCACAGGTCAGCACTAACTGTACATCAGAGAACACACACAGGAGAGAAACCCTTTATATGCAATGAATGTGGGAAATCCTTCTGTGTGAAGTCAAATCTCATTGTACATCAAAGAACTCACACAGGGGAGAAACCCTATAAATGTAATGAGTGTGGGAAAACATTCTGTGAGAAATCAGCTCTTACTAAGCATCATAGAACTCACACAGGGGAGAAACCCTATGAGTGTAATGGATGTGGGAAGACCTTTAGTCAGAGGTCAGTGCTCACTAAACATCAGAGAATTCATTCAAAGGTGAAAGCTCTTTCAACATCCTGAATATTCAGAAACTTTCATCCAACCTTTCAAATTCATTATTTAGCTTTTTAAAATGAGATTAATGAAACCCAAAGCAAATTACTCAAAAGTTATTGTACTTTAGGTAACCTATATTAAAATGAAACCATATTAATGTTTTAAATATGTAGAAGAATTTAGAAAAACTAAATTTTTGTCAGAAAATTTATACTGAGGGAAAATTTATTTAAGTAATATGGTAAAGATCTTCATACAGAATTTATGTTGCCTGTCATATTCCAAATGTGATGCCAAAATTTTAATGTAAATATAATGTGTGATATTCAGTTATATTGGTATTCAAAGTGTAATTTGAGGCTTAAAAAATGTTGAATAAGTGTAGCATTAAACATTTATGTGAAGAGTCCCTAATGTGTGCAGGCCTTATTTAAGTAAAAGTATTCTAATATAACAGAAATTTGATATATGCTTAATTTGTACATTAGATCCCAACATGCTTGTGAAGAGAAAGTATGAACATTAGTTAAACACCTATTGTGGTCTATATTAATATTTCCCACACAAAATACCACTGTATCTTTATAGGTTGACATAATTACACTATGTACATATAAATATATTTAAACACGCATACACACATATAGTGATGTTCTAGAATAAGATCATACTGGTATGGAAGTACTGCTGATTGTCAAGTTTTCAGGTATTTTGAACCAGTTGTTAAACATAGTCATTGAAAAATTAAATTATATAAAGTTACAATTAAATTATATTAAAAACAAAAGTAATAAATATTCAACACATTACTTCCTAATTATTTTATAACATTTTACTATTGGTTCCTTAGGTTACCTATATTATTGAATCTACATAGAGAAAATAATGTATAATAGTGTGCTACTGCACAATCTCTTTCTAACTGTACATTCAGTTCCATCATGTTTGGTAGCTTTACTTTAGTGGAAATATTTGCACCATGGAAATTGGCAACCTCTACAACTTAGGATTATTTTCTCATGGAACCTATTGTCAAATATTTACCAGCACAATAGGCTATAAGAATATATATATTTGGAAAATTTAAGGTACAAACCACACACCCTTTCTCTTCTTTCCTTACATAAATACATGGCGATGGCCATTATTGCTAAACTGCCTCTTCAATAAATAAGGTAAAATAAGAGGTTTTTAACTACCTCTGCTTCATTTCTATTCTTAGTACCTGAGTCTTTTTAAAGTGTGGCCAGTATACGTTATTTTACAACCACATCACCTACCTTCTGATTTTTTTTTTTTTTTGGCGTATATGAATGAGCATAGCCATTATTACTGAACTACTACTTCCATTAAAAAGCCAAACTTTTGCCCTGGCTGGTGTAGCTCAGTGGTTTGAGCTCGCGCCTGTGAAGCAAAGGGTTGCCGGTTTGATTCCCAGTCAGGGCACATGCCTGGGTTGCAGGCCAGGTCTCCAGTAGGAGATACATGAGAGACAACCACACATTGATGTTTCTCTCCCACTTTCTCCTTCCTTTCCCCTCTCTCTAAAAATAAATAAATAAAATATATTTTTTAAAAAGCCAAACTTTTTTCCGAGGTTTTTATGCTGCTTCTTGGTCAGTGAGTGTTGTAATTGCTGTTAATAATAATGATATTTCCATATATTTCACATAGATTAACAGCACTTATAAACAGTAATACTGTTCTGTATAAATAAATAGTAGTGACACGTGATGAAATGCCTCTTTTATACTCTTGCAATTTCATTGCTGTATCTATTTAGGCATGGTATGTGTAACCTGAGTTGCATGTAATCCAGGAACTATGTATTTGTTTTTCATATAATAGAATATCATATATTCTCTCTGTTGCCTTTGTCCTGCTGTTCCCCGTGTTTCATTGCAACATGTTGATAAGCAGTTCCAGAAGACTACTTTTTAACTGCTGGGCTCTGTTATGTCTTTGTTTCATTCTCCCAGATGACAAAAGGGTAAATCCAGATTAGTCTGAGTTAATCATGGATATTCTAACAATTTTGTTGGGTGGCCATGTGAGCAATGAAATGTTTGAAAAATATTCTGCAGTGCTTCTGGGAAAGATCTCAGCAATAAAATATTGCTAGGACATGAGAAGACACGTGTCTATTCTACTGCACTTTTTCATGTCTATATGTATATTATAGTTTGTGGCCCCAAAGGGCAATAGCCTGAAGATAACAGTACAGAAGATGGGAAAACCCTGGCTTGGAGGTGACATCCACTGAAATGTGCAACTTCATCTGATCTTCTGTCTGTGAGGACCTTATGATAATGAGATAATAATGGTTTTGTATTTATTCTTAGGGCTATTACTAAGAGCTGAAGGCATTTCCCCCAACAGAGGTGAATTCTTTTCTCAGTGTTAATGTTCTATAAAGTGATTTTTGGGAAGAATTATTTCTTTCGACAGGTTAGTATAAGGATGGGTCTTGTGTCAGCCATGGTTCTAAGGAAAAACACAATTCTAGAAGATTTTAATGGCAGACTTGTAGTGGTGTGGCCCGGACCTTGTAGCCCAGGCACAAGGGCTGTTCTGTTGATACACCTAGAGACTAGAATCGGCAGGAAGCCATGGTTACCATTCTAAATCCTAAAGGGGCAAAGGAGAGAAACAAGTGTTACCAGAGCCCAACAAAACTTGGTCTCATGAAGGAGAGGCCACCATATAGTAGATATTGTCACTACCAGAAATATGACACCAAATTGCTGGTGCCTCTTGGAGAACCAAGCAGGTGCCATCTGCAGGTAAGCCCATGTAGGCACAGAGAAGATCAGGTTGGAGCCAGTGGAGAACAAGCAGCACAATATTTTTTAATTTCTGTAAATTCCTATGTAAAGTCTCAGTATTAGATGTTTATTCTACTAGTTGAAAATTGAGTTTCTGCTTTGTATTGCTTTGGAGTCCTAAGTAAATTCCTTTTGGAACTAAGCATTGTGGCAGGTGTGTAACCTTTAACATGCCTGAAGCAGACGTCTATATTTGCATTATTCATATATCTGTCTGTGGTGTTTTTTGTTACATGTAGTGTGAAGTAAGCAGCTCTATATTCCAAATAAATAGCCAGTTGTCCCTGCACTGTTGATTTATTCACCCTTTCTCTTGTTGGCTTGATAGGGCATTTTTATCACATCCTTACATTTGGTGTTGTCCAAAACATTGACATATGTGGTGTATACATTATGGACCAAGGCAAATATCAAAAGGTCCTTGGTATTTGATCTTGTCCAAAACATCCATGGCGACCTATGGTCCACACCAAAATGTCTTTGGTATTTGGTCCTGTACAAAACATCCATGGAGGCATTTGGTCCTGTCTAAAATGTCTGCTGAGACATTTGGTCCATGATTCATTAAATAACACATTTAACTTTGTTAAAATTTTGTTATAATTTATGATGAATTTCGTATTTCACATTTATTCTTATTTTTCTTTGTCATGAAGTTTGTCATATATTTACTCTTAAAAGCCAATGAGCAATTGTTCTCAAGAATATATCAACCTGATTATTGGCTTTATATTTATTATATCTGTTAACAATTTTAGTTATACAAATTTGATTTTGTTGATATCATTGTGAAGTTGGTGACTGTATTTGACCATGACCACCAAGTACCTGTGTGATAACTTTATTGCTTTGTTGTTTATCTTTTGAAACGTCAGTAGATCTCCAAATTGAAGGATAGTACTCCACCATCAGTTTTGAGATTTGTTATGCCACCGTTCCACTGTGTTGTTTATCCCGTGATCAGCCTTCAGTACTGTTCTGTATACATTCCAAGTTTCTGGTAGAAGTCTCGAAAGATTCTGGTCTAGTGCCTCTGCCACACCTTCTAAGGACATACCCTCCTCCAACATAATCTTTAGGTCACCTAAATTTTCTTCTGCATTCTCCATAATGTACTTAAGTTTTATTTATATCTTCAAAAGGTACAAATTGTCCAAACAACATGGATACACTTACAGGAGTTACTTTTTATTGTCATTTACTTGCATGTTAGATCCCCCCAAAATATCTGTTTACTACAGTGGTTGTGGAACAACTATCCTTTTACTTGCACATTTTCACTTAATGGTCAAATCATATTTATATTTTCAATATCAAAATCTATCATGCACAATGAAGGGTTAATGCGATTTCTTTCCTGTGCAAATATATCTGAAAGTGGCTCCTCATATTTTACTGTTTGGGCATTAATCAGTGGCTAGTATAACCCAATACTACACTATGTATAGTAAATAACTGAACTGTGTTGATGCTCTATTGAGGGTGCCATCACTGAATAATGTAGTACTGGCACTTAAATATTGCATATTGTCCAAAATTGTATAAATAAAAATTATTACATCATCTCAAGAACCAGAATTGTGCCTAAGAAGTGGTTCTTCATGTTTGATCACTTTATACTCCTCTGTAATTCTACCTTCATGAAATAAAGTTGAGTTTGGTGGTCAGTGTCTGTTTTTAATCTTTATGTGCCTCATTAATTAGTTTTCTTCCTGGTAGTATTAACAGGATCTCTTTATGATGAGTATCATGGAGAACTCTTTGAAGTACCTCTGATGATATTACATTTGGCTCTTCTTGTTTTAACTTACCCTGGGTTTTGCTTACTCTCCTGTCAGTACCATCTTTCTCTAATGTTTTCCATTCCCATCTTGAATATTATTCAAATCCCGAATAGTTGTGCATCAGGCATTGCAGATTCTCCTATCTTCACAGTACCAGTACCCTTTAGTACTATCTTTGTAAAAGGAATAGAAATAGCAGCAAAAACTTGTAATAAAGTATTGCCTTTATATGTGAGTATACTATTTCTGCCATATTATGTGGAGATTTTTCAAATAAGGCTGTCATTTTGATAAGGAACAGAAGTTTTTTTCTCTTTTTTTAGCTGACCGATGATTGCTGATTTACTAGAGGAATAATTCTTAGTAATGTCTTGTGGATTTTACACCTGGTTTGGCCACCCTGGATCAGCCAGTAGGTAGGCACTAGGCAAGGGCATAGTGATCTGTGCCATCAGATAAGTTTAGGAGTTATACCTACTAAAACTCCTACAAATAGCAGCAGACTCTTGCAGTCTGCCACAGTCATGCCTTTGTAGGACATTAATTCAAGAGACACATCAGACATTAACCTGGGGCAATAGGATAGCTTTATTGGGGTTTCTGAATGTCCAGTATTTCCCCCATGACAGCTGTTATACCTGACTGCTATGTGGTAGGAAAGCCACACACATTCTTCCTCCTGAAATGTTCTTTTTGAATAGTTTTTTCCCTTTTATACTCAATGGTTATTGAAAACAGCCATACCCAACCCAAATGCCTAGTGACATATTAACTGCACCATGCATCACAAGATCCCATCTGTGTTTTTTAATCCTCTGTGAATTTCTCTGTGAATTCTTCAGTGCACACAGCTAATTCCAATCCCACTCTTTATTTACAATTGAAAATCTGATCCATGTAGCTAACCCCATGTACTTTTTCCAGCTTGTATACCGAGGCAAGGATTATTGTGAATACAGCAACAATACAATTATCAGTGAAACATGAGAATATTTTTATGTATTAATCCTATAAAACAAAAATGTAAATAAACATTATAGGCTATTTGAATCCACAGATGTTTCCTAAGTGTGAACTTAATTTACAAGTTCAAATATCCAGGACCATTTGGCATGGACCAAATACACTCATGGAATTTTTTGATATGACAGATTTCAAGACCTTTTGCTGTGGACTAAATGTCTCCATGGAGGTTAGGGACAGGACCAAATTTCAAAAAAACTTCAAGCATGGACCAAAAGCCTCAATGGACATTTTTAACAGAACTAAATACCCACTAATTTTATCATGTAAAATATGTAGTGGCTATTGCTTTTGGCTGCTCAATGCAACATTTTTATGTTCTATAGTAATATGTGCAGTCCTTGAGAGCAAATCTTGGCCCCACATTTGTATTAATATAGGCATGATATTTTTTATTGAGAAGGCACCATAACTACATAGTTTGAAAACTTGTTGCTACCAGCAACTATATCAGGAAAATACATCTGTAGGGGAGAAGTATTATAAAGGAAAATAAAATTTTAAAAGTCATCTGAAGGATGGATTGATTTTAAATAGCATGGAGAGGGAAAGACCTCACTAAGAAGCCTGCTGTGGAGAGAGCAAGTTCTTTGGATATCTGGAAGACTGTGTGTGTGCAATATTTATACAGTGAAACCTGAGTCCTTGAATGTCTCGGTTCTCCAGCAATTCTGTTCTCAACCAAGTTGTTCATGGAAAAATGCCTTGGTTGTCGAAAAAAATTGGTTCTTGATTCTTGACCCAACAACCTTTCATGCTGATACCTGTATGAGCAGTCATGCATCACTCAGGAGACAAAGGAGATTTTGATTTTCAAACAAAATGCTTCTTGAATGAATTAGGTTTGAGAACCAAGTTTCCACTGTACATCTGTAACCAACAGTTCTGTGTATCTGTGATTTTGTTTCATGAAACAACACCCAGATTCACACATGGAGAAATTGCATTATGGAGCTGTTGGGCAGGGGCCATTTTTTTTCTGTACCCTGAGCAGTGCCACCTTTCAGGTATTGGACTAACCCACACCTCCCCAAGGCATCAGCCTGGGGAGTGGCACCAGCCCCTCCTTGCCAACCCCCTGGCCCTTCCCTACCAGGATTGCTTCAGGTGGACAGGTCTTTTTTTTAGTCTTCCATCATGAGTTCATAGTGCAGCTTCTACTGAGAACGTCTCAAAGTTCAGGCAGGTTCTGGAGTGCCAGAGAGAGAGGCTGAGTTGTGTGGCTTTCAGAAGATAGACATTTCTTCCCTGTGTGCCTGAATGGCACAACTGAGCCCACCCCAACTCCTCAACACATCAGCCTGGAGAAAGGCACTAGCACCACCAAAAAGGTCCAAGAATCCCCAGGCAGGTAGCAACTGGCCTGGGCATACTCTGAAACTTTTGCTGAGTGACCTCAGAGCCAGCACAGGTGCTAAGTTGGAATCTGTATGCACCAAGTGGATATCATTTTCTCTACATGGTAAATAACTGAGAAGCCTGCCTCTCACAAATCACAAACTGCCTGAAACTCAGAGGCTAAGCCTAGTGGGCAGCCAGCAAATAGTCATTCATCTCAGGGTTCCTTGGTGCTTTCATTGACCTGCCCTGGACTAAGTATGGGTGACAGCAAGTCTTGGTGTATGGCTTTGTATGTTCCATAAGGACCCAATCCCACAAGAACCCAGTCCCACTACAGGCAACTACCACCCAGGGATTGCCTAGTAGTTCCTAAATGGTAGCCCAAAGCTAGTCATAGGCAGTGTCTGACATTGACACCTACCAGAGTCCATTCCAAAAGGCCCCAGAACCAACATACCCAGTAGCTGGCTTCAAAGCACATCAGAACACAAATTGATTAGCTGCCCCAGGGAAAACATTGGAGAGCTGGGTAATAGCAGCCTAGCAGCCATTTCTGCTCCCAGGGAGGGCAAATCACAGACCTGCGCAAGGAGAGACTTGAATGTGTGTTACCAGTAGGAGAAAAGGCATGCAGGCAAACATAGTTGGCAGGGGACCCAAACCAGGTGGCAGTTGATGTCCAGGGCAGTGCCAGAGAGTAGGGGTGATCCTGGTGGCACCTGGAGCTGGGAGAAGAGGTGGGCCACAGTGGGCCATGTCTGAGAGAGACTCTGGACTTGCCCAAGAGTTGGAGTGTGGAAAGCTGGACAGTGGCTCAGAGCAGCACTGGTGCCCAAAGAGATTTTTCTAAAGTAGAACTAAGGCACACTAGGCAGGGACCTTGTGCACACAGCTGGGAGGATTGTGGGCACAATTTGCTCATACTCAGTGCACCTCATGGATTGATCAAAGGGGTGTAAATCGAGATGGTTTATCAGTGCCAGCTTGGCATAACTACTCAGAGTGAAGAGTGTGGGCCCATAGTGCTCTGAAGGCATGGGCTGGAAATGGGCACCTGTAATTATTGTCATCCAGACTGAGTCCATTTCCTTGCTAAACCACCAGAAAGGAAAAATGGACTCGAAACCCCCACTACCTGCAGGAGCCAGGAAGATGTGCCATACCAGCCCAGACACACTTAACAACCAAAAGCAGGGGCTTTTTTTCCCCGCCAAGAGTAAGACAGTAAGACCTGGAGCTGAAACAAACACAGAGACAGATCCAAAAAGTCAGAAGGAAAACATCAACCCCTGAGACAAATCTCTTTGCTCTTCATCAGCACTTGGATGTTTTAAAAAATTTGTCTTCTTTTTTATTCAAGTAGGTTTTCTGTTTGTTTGTTTGTTCGTTCGTATTGTTTTTCTCCCTTTCATATTGCATTTTAATTTTTTTACTTGTATTCCAAATAACTTGCTACTTGGTCATTTACTTTTTATTGTTTTTATTCAGATTATATATATATTTTTAGCATAGTTATTCCAAATCCCACATAACACCCTTCCCTTGTCTTAAACCATTTCCCCATCTTCCTGAGCTTTATTACTGTTGTGTTAAACTTTATCTTCTCTTACATTATTTCATGTTCCTATCCCTTACCAATGCTATTTCTCCTCCATCTAACCTCACATAACTGCTCTTCTTCTTGAGTAAGCACATATTCTTTTTCCCCTCTAATTTCTCATTTCTTTTCCCCTTTTTATAAAAAGTGGCTAGTTGGGTGAAATACCACAGTCAATGCTATACTTCTCTAGAGGAACTCCTATTTGTTCACTATTAGTTTGTACTTTAAATCCCATAGAATACTCTCCCACTGTCTTACTCCATTTCACCTTCCCCCTACCACTAACAAGTTGGTTGGGGAATGTTATTTCATTTTTTTAGCCCTCTCTAACTGGGCTTTACTCTTATTGGTTTGCTTGCCCCATGCTCTAAAATAATTTATCTTTATGGTAGACGTCTCATGTTCACTTTTTGTTTTTATACAATATTCTTATTCCACTTCTACCTTTACGAGACTTCATTCAGTTGGAATTGCATTCTACCCTATTGTGGTTCTTCTATAATTTTGCTCCCATTCATCCATACCTTTTCAATTTTACTTCAAACCTCATAGAATACTCTTCCCTTTTCATACTGTGTTGTTCTCATTGCCCTTCCTTAATTTACCTACATTTTAAATGTTAAAATGTAGGTAAACATTTTAACATTTAAAGCAATCTCTTTAAGAGAGATGTTATCTCCCTTTCTTCACCTTAGTTCTAAAACAACTCATCAATTCTCCTATCTCTTACCACTCAATAACATTTTTCCCTCTTTAAATTATCTCATATCCCCTTTGTCATATCTTATAATATTTGTAACCTTTCATCACCTTTGTTAATGTTTTCTCAATTGTGCTTAAGATACCTGATGTGGTAGGGGTGTTTTTTGTTTGTTTTTGTTTTGCTGGCATAGGTTTGGTTGTCTGTTAATACAGCTTTGTTAACCAATGCCTCCACAAAAGCATACAGGACAAGGTGGGAATTCTGACTAGCAGTAATCCCACTGAAGGGGAGAACCCACCAACAAAGAAGCCACCAAGTAGAGCCCAAGAACAAGAGAGCTAACACAAATGGAAGAAAGGGCAACCTTAAGGCATCCAGACAAGGAGACCAAAGAGACCACAATACTGAGTCCCGCAGAACTCCTACCACAAAACTTCATCCCACAAAGACATCTGGCAAAGCAGAGCATATAGAATCACAGAAACAAAAAGAATGAACTAAAATGGGGAGATAGAAGAAGAACTCTCAATTAAAAGGAATGGCAGAATCCCCAGTAAAAGGGCTATAAAAAAATGGAGGCAAGCAAACTATCAGACACAGATATCAAAAGAATGGTTATCAGGATTCTCAAGGAG